TCCTGTTCCTATTTCTTACGGTCTAACTGCGGAATCTGGAATCTGAAACAAAAACAGAAAGTTCTGGAGAGCTCAGCAGGTCTGGCAGCATCTGTAGGCAGAGAAACAGAAACAGATTGACCTGGAGCATAGAATTCCGCAGAAATTTGAAGGAGAAGCCAGAATGAGGCATGCACAGCATCATGGAAGCTATTCGCACATTGTGCAGATGTCCCAAGAGGTAATCTTGAATGCATTGGGAACACACACTCCAGTTATTATCATAACTTCCTTGCCTTCGTACCCTGTGCCACTACTTATAAAGCCCATGATTCCATTTACCTCTTTTTTAACTGATGTCTCGACCTAGTTTGCCACCTTCAATGATTTGTACATTTATACCTCAAGATCCCGCTGCTCCTGAACCCAATTTAGATTTAAACACTTTGTGTTAAAGAGAGCTCTCCCTTTCAGAATGGAAAAAAAATAACTTTACCTCAAGCCAAACTGCTCATCTGAACCAGCTGTACAGGAGGAACTTCCATTCACGAACTAGCCTCTATAACCATAACAGACAAATAGTTTTCTTCCGTGCTGTGACAATTCTGAATGAGGGGTCATGGTTTAAAAAATAAGGGGGTCAACCATAAAAAAAAGATAAGAATTATTTATTTCTCACGGTCGATCATAAGTGTTTGGAATTCTGACCCTCAAAAGGTGATGGAAACAGGTATTTAGAGTCATAGAGTTTTCATAGCACAGGTAAAGGCCCTTCTGCCCTTCATGTCCATGCTATCATCAAACTTGTATCTATTAAAAACAACAAAAACAGAAATTGCTGGAAAAGCTCAGTGGGTCTGGCAGCATCTGTGGAGAGAAATCAGAGTTAACGTTTTGTGTTGCGTGAGCCTTCCTCAGAAGCTTCTATCTATTCTAATCTCGTTTGCCAGCAATGGCCAGTAACCTTATATGCCATGGCGTTTCAAGACATTATTAAAATAATTCCAAAATACCTGGAGGGTTTCAGCCTCCACCACCTTTTTAAGACAGTTGGTTCCTGCTACCTATCACCCAGGGTGACTATTTTTCCTCAAATGCCCTCTAACTATCCTGCGCCTTCCCTTAAAACTGTGCCCCTTGCTAATTGAGCCCTCTCCTAAGGGGAGAAGTTCCTCTCTACCTACCTACCCTATCTGTGCCGTTCATAGCTTTGTAATCCCTAATCAGGTCTCTCCTCAGCCTTCTCTGCTCTAAAGAAAACAGCACCAGCCTCTTTAGTCTCTCTTCGTAGCTGAATTGCTCTATCACAGGCAATATTTTGAATGTTTTTGAGTCAGATCTAGAAAGATTCTTGAATAACAAGGGGGTGAAAAATTATCAGGAGGGATGGAATATGGTGTAATCAGGTCAGTCACTATCTTATGAACAGCAGAACATAGTTCAGGAGCCAAATGTCTGACTCCTGCACCTAATCTGTGTGTTCGTATTAGCCACTCAGAATGGGGAAGTCCTTGGGTTCATCTCTTTACAAATTAATTCCAACCAGGATATCAGGAGAAGTAATAGAGTACAAGAGCAAAGAATTTGTATAAAGACGCTTGTTAGACCCCAGTAGGAGTATTGTATATAGTTGTCAGTGCCACGTTATTGGAATGCATTGGAGAGCACGCAGAAGCAGGTTTACAAATGGTTTCAGGAATAAGGAACTTCCGTTATGAGGATAAGAAGTTGAAACTGTTCTTATTGGAAAGAAGAAGCATGAGAGGAGATTTGACAGAGGATTTCAAAATCATAGAGTAGATAGGGAGAAACTATTCCCACTTGTAAAAGGAACAAGAACAAGAGGCTCCATTCCCACCTCTCCGACCTGTTTGTTTCCTCTCCACCTACCTTCTCCTTTATCCATCTTCTATCCGCCTCCCCCTCTCTCCCTGTTTATTTCAGAACCCCCTTCCCCTCCCCCATTTCTGATGAAGGGTCTAGGCCCGAAACAACCAGATCCTCTCCAAAAACAAGAGGGTGTTGATTTAAAATGAAAGAGCAGCAAGGATGAAGTGAGGAAAAGCTTTTTAATTCAGTGAGTAGTTGGGGTAGGAAATACGTTGCCTGGAAATGTGGTGGAGGCAGGTTCAATTTGAGGCATTTAAAAAGGGCATTGAATGATTGTTTGGATAGAAATGGTGTACAAGGGTTTGGTGAGAAAGTGGACGATGGGTACGGGATAATAAAAACAGAAAAGGTCGCTGTAGTCCTACCAGACCATAGGGCTGCTGTCTCATTAGAAAGAGACAACTAGGCACCACGCCTAAGGGGAGAGGCTGAGAAGGAGAGTCATTCGTGGTGCCCCTTCACAGCTGCAGGAATTGAAACCGCACTGGGTTTTTTTAAAATGTGAAAATATACTTTATTCACAAAAAATCTTTATCTACATTCACAGGCACTAAAGCAGTTCTGTACAGTCTTTGCATATCAAGAATAAACAAACCGTGGAATTTGACATTCCCTACAGTTGCAAAAACCAAAGGCATTTCTTACTCATGCAGGAGAGTATCTATATACATTGAGGCAATGAGAGGGTCAAATAACTGAACAGATCCTCATTATACTTCAGCAGAAGGATCTTAGATGGTGGTCTTTCCCCACTGCGCCTTCGTTGCAACTGCCTCAAGCTCTAGTGCATCCCTCAGCACTTTGTCATGGACCTCGGAATGTGCCAGTCTGCAACACTCAGTCAAGGTCAACTCCTTGCACTGGGAGACCAACAGGTTTTGGGCAGACCAAAGAGCAACCTTCACCAAGCTGATGGTCTGACAGGTGCAGTGAATTTTTGTCCCAATGTGTGTCCTGGGGAACAGACTGAAGAACACAGAGTCCTGCGTCATGGAGCTGTTCAGGACAAACCTCGACAAAAACCACTGGAAATCTCTCCAAACTTCCTTTGCAAAGGCCCATTCCAGAAAGAGATGTGTGACAGTCTGTTCACCAGCACAGCTGCTTTGAGGGCAGCACGCAGTGATGCACAGAGACCAGGCGTGCATGAAAATACCATCCCCTGCTATTTGCTACAGGCGCATGATGTTTAGTTCTGCACCTTACATTAAGGGGCAGCATGGTGGCTCAGTGTTTAGCACTGCTGCCTCACAGCACCAGGGACCTGGGTTCAATCCCACCCTCGAGTGACTGTCTGTGTGGAGTTTGCACACTCTGCCCATGTCCGTGTGAGTTTCCTCCGGGTACTCCGGTTTCCTCCACAATCCAAAGATGTGCAGGCAAGATGGATTGGCCATGCTAAATTGCCCATAGTGTTCAGGGATGTGGAGATTAGGTGGATGATGGGGGTTGGGATGGGTCTGGTTGGGATGCTCTGAGGGTCGGTGTGGACTTGTTGGGCCAAAGGGCCTGTTTCCACACTGTAGAGATTCTATGATTCTACAATCTGACTGGCAGTGTTCTCACCACCAGCCAAGCAACATCTTGGAGCTTGCTAGAAAGTTCTGGCGATGAGGCATTCTGCTAAATGATACCCTTAAAAGTGAATTCGCAGGTAGACAGGATGGTGAAGAAGGTGTGTGCCATGTTACCTTTGTTGGTCAGAACATTGAGTATAGGAGTTGGGATGTCATGCTGCAGCTCTACAGGACATTGGTGAGGCCACTTTTAGAATACTGCATAGAGTTCTAGTTGCACTTCTATGGGAAGGATGTTGTCGAACTTAAGAGGGACCAGAAAATATTTAAAAGGATGTTGCTGGCACTGGAGGGTCTGAGTTATAGGGAGAGTCTCAATAAGCTGGAGTCTTTTCCTTCTGGAGTGTCGGAGGCTGAGAAGTGACCTTATGGAGGTTTATAAAATTATGAGGGGCATGGATAGGGTGAATAGCCAATGTCTTTTTCCTAGGTAGGGGAGTCAAAAACTGGACGATATATGTTTAAGGTGAGAGGAGCAAGATTTAAAAAGGACTTGAGGGATAACTTTTTCACACAGAGGGTGGTGCATGTATGGAATGATTTGCAGGTACAGGTACAATTACAACATTTAAAAGGTATCTGGATGGGTATATGAATAGGAAGGGTTAAAGGGATAAGAGCCAAATTCTGGCAAATGGGACTAGGTCAGATTGGGATGTCTGGTGGGTGCGGATGAGTTGGCCTGAAGGGTCTGTTTCTGTGCTGTACGTCTCTATGACTCTATTTTGACAGCGCCATGGGACAGGATTCACAATCTCCTTTACCTGCAGGGTCTTGATGTCACTATGCACTGACCAGTTCCGGATGGACTTGTGATCAAAGGTGATTTTCTTTACAATTTTTTCCCACAGGTGATACATACTAGTTCACTTGAACCACACTGTTGGCATCATTCTGCATTGCTAACCAGCAGTCAAGCCAATGCTGCTCGTTTGAAGCGTTGGTGTAGACACAACGAGCCTCCTGCAAGGCAACATTTCTGAGATGATATGGAGGGGTACAGTAGATTGGAAGGTCTTTTGGAGGGCTAACACAGATATCGTGGGCAGAATGGCCTCCTCCCCAACAGGTCAGTGAATTTGATCAATTTAAGTTCGCGGTGAGACATTAGAAATGCTAAGTATATAATAAACTGGAGGCTAATGGAACATCATTCCTTTTCCAATAAGTTACCAACAATAACTGATAACTGTAAATACAAGGAAACCAACAATGAGCCAATCCGCAACGACCTTCAGATATATGTCCAACGTCAGCCAATCATACGTGTCAAAGCGTTCGGCGACGTCCTATCAGAGACGGAGGGTGAATTCACCAATCGACAAGAAGTATTTGAACAGGATGTGTCGGCGCGGGCCAATGGAAAGGTCCGTGTCATCGCAGGGCTGCCGCGCGGCGGACCAATCAGCATCGTGATTCGTCGGTTGTTGTGACGGGCGGGTCCGGGGGCGGCCAATAGGAGAGCCGGCCGGTGAGGCGGTCCGGCCAATGGGCGTCGCGGTTTGCGCGGAGGGAGCTGTGGGCGGGTTGGCGGGGGAGTCCGCCGCTGACAGGAGGAGGTGGGTTCCCCCCCCCCACCCCCACGGCGGGGAGCCAGGGCCGGGCTGCAGTGCCGCTTACTCACCGCTTGTGAGGAGAAGGAGAGGGCGGGCAGTCAGTCTGTCTGTCAGGGGGGTGCGGTTAGAGAGCCCCCCCCCGCCTCCAACTCCGAGCCCCGGGAGGCGGTCAAGCCGGAGGGAAGGCCCACCCCACACCCCCACCGCTACCGCCGTGTGGCCCATGAGGAGTCAGTCCGCCCCGCACGGCGCCCATGCCCAGCTCCGGGGGCAACGGATGCGGCCCGAGTGCCGAGCCCTGCGTTCCCGGGCCTGAGTCCCGCACCGAGTCGGCGGCCCCGGGCTGACTGAGTGGCGCCGGCCTCTGTCTCTCTTCCCTCATTCTTCCCCCCCTCCACCCGGGGGGGCCTCCGCGCTGCTGCTCAATCTCTTTCTTTTCTCCCCCCTCACCCCCCCAACACAAACCCCATTCCTCCCTCCCCTGTGCTGCTACCCTCAGCCCCGGGGGCTCCTGCGGGAGAAAATCTTGAGGTTGAGGAGGAGGGGAAGCGGTGCTCAGTCACTCTCTCTCCTTTTACCCCCCACCCGCTCTCTGCCCGGGCCCATGGCTTTCATCATGAAGAAGAAGAAGTTCAAGTTCCAGACCTTCTTCAGCCTGGAGGAGCTGGCCGCCGTGCCCTTCGTCAACGGGGTGCTGTTCTGCAAAATCCGCCTCCTGGATGGTGGGGATTTCACCCAGCTCTCAACCAGGTAAAATAAAATAAACACTCCACTCACCTCCCACCCACCCAGGTGTCTCTTCCCCCCCCCCCCCCCCTTGTCTCCATGCCCTGTTGGACTTCCCCCTACCCCTGTGCCCCCTTGTCTGGATGCCCTGTTGAACTCCCCCCCCCCCCCCTGTGCCCCTTGTCTGGATGCCCTGTTGAACCCCCACCCTTTGCCCAATGCTGCCTTGCTTCCATTGACTCTATACCTAATGTGCTCTGGATGTCTGTTCCATCACGCATCCGTCTCCTCCACCCCACCTCCGCACCCAAGCTTGGATGTTCTGTTACCCTTCAGTGTCCTGTTGCAGGTTCCCCTCCTGCCAACAGCCCTAATCTTCCCCCCCCTATTGATCCACCCCACTTGGATTACTTGTCATTCTGCCCTGGTGTCCCACCGCCCACCCCTTTGTAATGACCTTCTCTCTTGCTGACACCCTGTCCTCCTGACCATAACTTTTGGGTGCACAGAATTGTACATGAATTCCCAAACAATGTTATCTTTTTGTGTTTGAGTTTGTGCAAATCCAGAAAATTAATTTTTGATGAGAATTACTTTGTCTAGAGAAATAATGTGTAGGGGCAATTGGCTGCCACCTGACCTCCATTTTGACTCTAATTGGGGCATGATTGTGACAATATCCTTAATTGTAAGTTGTAAAAGAAGATTGTGTCATTGTGAGCTTTTAAACCCTGCTTTGTGTTGTATTGGTTTATCCCCAGATGTGGCCATACAGGAATGTGACAGTGTTGTTTTCTTTTGCAACTTAACTTTTGGTGTGGCCTTGATGCCGGTGTGTTGATTCATTGTGCAGCAAAACACACTGAATTCTTCAGCCTGGAACTGTTTAGTTCACTTTTAACACTGGGCTGTGCGGTTGGGGTATGCTGTTTGAAATCCAACACTTGTGAGATATAGAAGCAGGCCAGACAAAAGGGGCCATAAAATCAGTGGGTTAATGCCCACAGGGCAAAGCTGAAAGTGAGGGATGGTCAAAGTTGGGATTTTCTTTCTGGGCAGGAAATATCTGTAAAGCGATGTAAAGTGGTAAAAGGTAAATCTGCAAATGATTTAATTTAACTGTAGGAGCAGAAGCAGGACCCAAGGTCAAACTCATGAAAGGCCAGTTTAAGATGACGGCAGTTTTTCAAAGCTGGCAAAATGCTGGGGTTACTCGGCATCTATGAAGAGTGAAGGGGGTTAACAGTTCAGGCCAGTGACCTTGCAGCAGATTGGTGCACTGTCTCAAGTAGTGTAGCACAGCCAAAAGCTTAGGATTATACACTCAAAGATGTTCCAAAAACTCTTTTTTAAAAACTGAGTACTTTTGAAGTATGACAACAATTTGAGTGGAAAACATAGTGGCCCATCTATGCTCAGTAAGATCTCTGAAACAAAATTGTGACGATCTGCTTGTAGTTGGTCATTTTACCTGAATGTTTAAGGATAATGTAGATCATCTCCAGTCTACACTGACCCTTTTGAAGAGCATCCCACCCAGATCCACACCCTACCTTATTCCTGGAACCCTGCATTTCCAATGGCTAATCTACCTAGCCTGGACAATATGGGCAATTTAACGTAGCCAGTCCACCTAACCTGCACATCTTTGGACTGTGGGAGGAAACTGGAGCACCTAGTGGAAACCCACGCAGAAGTGGGAGAGTGTGCAAACTCCACACAGTCGCCTGAGACTGGAGTTGAAGCTGGGTCCCTGGCATTGTGAAGCAGCAGTACTAATCACTGAGCCAACATACCAATAAAGGGAAGGATCTCATGACTGAAGTGCTTGATAGGGCAGACACAGAGGATGTTCCTGCTTCTGGGAGAGACTAAAACTGGGGTCCACTAATAGTTCAGTAGGGAATTTGGGAAAAATCTTCTTCACACCCTCCCTAATGACATTGTGAGGGTGCCTACACCAAATCGACTGTTGAAGTTTAAGTATGTAGCTCATCATCACCTTCTCCAGGACAGCTAGGGATGGCAGATCAATGCTGGCCCAACCAGTAATGTTTGTATGCCATGAGTGAATGATTGGCATGTAGTTGATGCAAATAGTTTAGATGCATTTATGGGGAAGCTTGAGGCCAGAGAGGAATAGGAAGTGGTGCTTGTCAGATTAGATGGGAGAGGTTGTGAGGAGGCTTGCATGCTGCAAATACAGCAGAATGAAAGAGTTGGGCTGAATCCCTTTTTTTCTGTGTTGTATGTTCAATGTGAAGTGGACTTTATTAGAAATCTGGAGGTTTTGTTTACAAATTTGCATTCTTACTGTGGCGTTATGTCACTGTTGTCAACTGGCAGATGATGTAATGTTGATTGGGACTGCCTCAAACTGTTATTTACTTTTTAACTTGGCAAAATCTAATTTCTGTTCCTATTTGTTCCCTGAGGGTGGTAACCTTTTTTTTGCAATAGGTAATGCATTTTGTTCAGTGTAGGAAGCTCTTTCGTGACCATCCTTTATCCGCGTGTCTAGGTGTGAATTATTGTCTGTGAATGCATCATGACGGCTCAGTCCTGACATCCGTTGTGTGCACAAGTTCTCCCAGCTAGTTTAATTTCCTGGCCAATTCTTGGGCTTGCTGAAGCCGCTTATAGCACATGTCATTGCCACTTCAGCTGGCATGTAATTAAACTTGGGCTTCTAATCTGTTTGGCTCTATATTGCACGAATATTCACCCTCTGTCAGGGAGTTCAGAGAACGAATCAGCACCATGTGCAAAAAGATCTGTTTCTGTGAATATTTAAGCTGTCTTATACAAATTAAAAGTTGCTTTCATTGAGTAACAATGTTACTACTTGTGTTTTGAAGGATCATATGGGTTTTGAGCAATTTATCAGATCGTGCTGTCTCTGACATCTGGTTACGTGCATGCCTTGTCCTTAAACCTGTTAATACTTAATAAAGTCTGATCTTTTGAATTAGATTTTGTACTTACTTCCTTTGGAAGTACAGTCACTGCCTGATTTTGTTACAGCTCATTTTTGTCTATTTATTGTTGGTCATTGAGAGCAGATTGTGACAGATTTATGTTCTGTTCCGATTTATTAGGATATCCGAGCTATATGGCATTTTTCTTGCAGTTGCCTGAGACTTTTTTAATGCTGTGCTATAGAAAATGAAAGGTTTTGAGTGACTTGGAGATATATTGGAAATGAACTCACCTCATTGATGTTTTCTGCCTAGCAGAAATGCAGAGAAGAAAGTGTTTCACTAGCCAGAAATTCTCTGGCTAAACCTGTTAAGTGAAAGTGATTTGTGTTCTGAGTTTTCATTGATAACATGAATAACTGGATATTAGTTATTAAAAAAAAATCCAGTAAAATAAAATAAAGAACTGTGGATGCTGAAGATCTGGAGAAACTCAGCAAGTCTGGCAGCATCTGGAGAGAAAGCAGTCAACATTTCGAATCCAGTGACTCTCCTTTACACTAAATAATCCAGACTAAGAGTTACACGGGAAGCCGATTTAAGATCATTAGCTGGTCCTGCAGTGTGGTGCATTTGCACATGCTTGAAGCATTATGAATAAGTACTTGGGACCCTGCTTTATGTAGGCAAAAGTATTTGCACTTTTTGTAAAGAACAGGATCATAGTCAGTCAATTGCAGCCCCATGATAATACTCTGACCAATCAGAATCTACTTCATCTGGGAGTTAAAATCGGCAGTTAACTCATCTTGCTGTAACTCCATGCCAATTATGGCTGAACCAATCAGCATATTTTAGTCTATATAAAACCGTTTCTCTCTGTTCGACTTTTTCTTGCGCCCTTATTCTGAAGTGTGCAAGACAAAAAGCTTCAACTTTGTGTTAGCTATGTTTAAATTCTAAACTACCAAGCATTTATTTTTAAATAAATGAAATAGGTTACAACAAATAATGCAGTTCTTTTGCCAGGACCCAGTAAATGGAAAGAATTGCAGGCAAGTGGTGTTGGCATTGTTGGTCTTCATTGGATGACTAATGGTAGAACAGTAATGAAGTATTTGATGCCAATGGAGCTTCTGAGGTGGCAGGAAAGCTATGGGGCATCAGGAAAGTGGTGTCTATTCAGTGTGACAGCAAGTCATAGATAGTGATGAGCTCTAATCAAAACACATAACTATATGTTTCTTATTGTGGTTGTAGACTGCTGTCTCTCGCTATTTTGAGCACTAAAGTATGGAATGTAAAACCATTCCAGAGATTGCATTGCACATGCAATTATAGAACAGTATTGTAACAGTTTCATGGGATTTTACTTTGACAAAACACAAACTTGCAGACTTCTTTGAGTCACTTCCAGGGTACTTTAGTTTAGCTTTTGGGTCCAGTCTTTCTTTTTTAAATTAATTCACAGGATGTGGGCATCGCTGGCTAGTTCAGCATTTATTGCCTGTCCCAGAGGGCAATTAAGAGTCAACCACATTGCTGTGGGTCTGGAGTTGCGTGTAGGCCAGACCAGTTAAGGACAGATTTCCTTCCCTAAAGGACACTAGTGAACAAGATAACTTTTTCCTACAGTCAGCAATGGTCATCATTAGTCTCTTCTAACACTTTTTCCCAATTTGCACTTGCAAATGTTGTGAAGCTTTTAAGGAAGTTATCATCGTGGAAAAAATACATGAAGTAATTTTTGTTGACAAATAGCAGAATGCTCAACCTGAAAGGAGTGCAGAATGATTTCACCTTTTGTAGGCCAAATCCATCTCTGTACAGAGAAACAGTTAACTTGCTTCAGGTCAAAGGCCATTCATTGTACAGATTAATTCTGGCTAAAATGAGGAATTTTATTTGCGTGAGGTGGTGTCATGTCTGAAATTCTGTTCTCCAAGATAAATTGGAGAAGTTTTTAGGTCTTTTTCTTGTGGAGAAACGAGGGGGATCTGACTCTCAAATTGAAGAGTTAGTGATACAGACAGTGTAGATAGGAGAAACTATTCCCACTAGTGAGAGGATCAAGAATGAGGGGATTTAAATATTTGTGTAAGAAGC